GAAAAGTGATGCGCGAGAGAAGCACAAACTTAATAGGATTTATTTTTGATTACGCTCTCGGCGGGTCTCTATTATTGTATATTGCTGCGGAGTACCGCTGTTGGATATTATTTTGTACAATTAACATGATATTATCGACTTCTGCGGCCTGCGTTTAATCAAAGAGTCTTGTTGGCAGCCTACGAACATAGTAAACTATTTATGAATGTGTCGAATTTCAGGCGTATTTCGACCGCGGTAACGTAAAACACGCCAATGCTGGAAAATATCAATGTTCAATAAATATTTAACAAGCCATTAGAGCTCTAATTCATCAAATTTAATGCAGCTATTCAGTTCACTGGATTGGAGGTCCGAATTCGGCTCGTTAAAAATTTAAGCGTGCGCAGGCCGGGTGCTCGTGATGTGTGGGCACGAACGAATAGCTGTTATACTATCTAACAGTTCGACGTATTGAAGACTATTCGATTAATTAGGTACCCGTTGTTTGACTATGGGTACTCGGTGATGAAAAAAACTATTCCAAACGTTTTTATTCGGTTATGGGAAAATCTGTTCCGCATAATTTTCCGGAACGCAGCGAGGAAAAACATCTCGGGAGGGAAATAATTCAACAAATTACAGAGTATACGCAATCGAGAGCCTGAAATGCCGTAAAAACGAAGACGTTTATGGGATGCAATATTTTGTAGTTGCATAAAAACAAAATAAATAATAATAATATTGTCAAATTACGTATTTTATTATTATTTTTTTTTTTTTAAAAATATACGTATAATATTTTACTATAATAACACACCACCGCCGCGCGGCCGTGTCAAGGTGAACGGAGCGTGCCCAACACCAAAATCCGTCGGTATCCTGTCCGTTTACTTGAGAACATACCTAGGTACGGATATTTTTCCGAGAATCGCGTACGCACATACGACTGTGAAGTATATAATTATTATTGTCTATACACCCACCTTACCTACAATAACAGCGTATACAGGGCGATCAGAATTTTACGCAACGGCAATATTTTGCCACGTGTGTATGCGAAATAGAAACACGTACATTTCCTCACTGGAAAAGCAGTATAATATTAAATAGTATAATCTACTTTACTGCGGTATATCGACTTTTCAATTATTCATTTTTTCTCCGTATTTTACGTGTTCGTAAATGAGAGATTTTCTGTTGTATAAAAATCCGATCACCCTGTATAACGAGAACCTCGACCGCAGTGAGGTCGGCATTAGAATTATATTGGTATACTGTGCGTATATATGCCTGTATACATTTTTATTATATACGATTAACTATGGGTGACGCGCGCACGCAGAAAATCACATTATATAGCAGCAGCTGTGCTGTAGCTGGTAAGTTTACATAAATACTATAATAATTATTGGAGAACGTCTTTCGTACGAATTCGTACCTTACCTAAAAATATTACCTTCGACGCGGTAATACACGTGCGATTATCGTTATTTGTGTAGTTTCAGTACCTATGCCTATTTGAATTATAATATGCATTTTAAGAGTTTCCAATAACATTTTTTCGACCGTTGAAAATCGATTGTGTCTAATAGGTATGTTATTTCGAGTAAAAAAACAATGTAACATTGTAAATATACGTCTAAAATACGCGTTAGTATGTAGGTATGCCAGGTATATACTACTACGGTTTTCAGTATCTTGGCCCAGCGGACATTCCACACCAGGACCGAGATCGTATCAGGTGTGACCAATTAAATACTCGTAATATGTATGTAGAAAATAGCTTGAAACCGCTGAAGCTATAAATGTAAAAGTTGAACGATAGTTTTATTTTATGATGCAGAGAATCGCCAAGAAAAAGTTTATCAAATTCAACCCCTTGGGGAATCCAAAGTATGGTACAATTTTAGAGTCTGAGCGAAGCGACGAATGTATTGGTTTTACAATGATGTTTTTTTTTTTTATTTTATTTTTTTTTCATATCTGTGAACAACTTTTCTGCCGGAAATTTTGCTCCAGTTTTCAATTGTAACACCTTTTCTGAAAGGAAATTTAACTCGGGTAGTACTTTAAAGAGTCTTCTTTCGATTTTTCCAGGGGTTTTCGTAATAAATGGAAAAAACTGGAAAATTTACGAAATTTATTAATTTAAAATCGTAAATATTATGGCTTTTTTAAACATGTATAACCGAACTCCGCTCAGAATCGTTTCGTCGGAAAATTTCTCCTCTGCTTACTTCCAGACTTCTCACCTACAACAGTAGCTCACTCATCGTGCGAAGTATGTCCGTTTTTTTTAAAGTAAAACTTCGTAACTTCAAAAAAGTTTTCACCTAGAGCAATCATTACTGCATCGTTTGTCCGTCACAAGAACAACCTCAATTCCCAAATTTCCAAAAATGTATAGCTCCAAAGGGATGAATAACTATCGTTAAAAACGGAAAAAGCTCGACGGATAAATATTTTTCTGATTGCATAATTTTTGTAGCATAAGATAATATGTATATCGGACCCATCACGATCAATATTAATTATATTGCACGATATTATTGAATAAATTGATGAAATCAAACAGAGGTGTAAATCGATTGCACAATACACAATATCATAATTAATATTGGATGTGATATTGTTGAAACCCAAGGCAATACTTAATATCATTGGTTTGACCGGTCATCAAGTTCAGTCATTCGGTCATTTGTAGGAACTTCAATAATTTCGAATGACTATGTACTGTGCTCTTCGTTTGTACCATTATTTATGCGTTTTTTTTTTTTTTTTTTTGTTTCCGTTCAGAGTCCGAATGCTACAGCGATGGAAATTAATACGGTGACATTACAAGATCCACAATGTTGAAAACTAAAAAAAAAAATAACAGTCTTGTAACTTATGATAAATACAAATAAAACAGTACGTTTTAGCATAACACGCGTTAAACATAAGCGATATTATAGCCGGCGAATATTTTCCAACCGAACATTGAGAGGTTTAGAGGAAATGAACGTTACACGAAACATTGACACGATTTAATTGAATCAATATTGTTGATCGTGTAGGGTCCGGTTAAAATGTAGTTTTGCGTAATCTATGTAATTACCATCACTAAAAACTGTACGCACTGCATGTAAACTGCACACGGGCTATGCCGGATACTAATGCTACAGCTATAATTTATAAAACAATTTCGTACGCGCGAGTCAAAGACGAGCCGGCCGGAGGAACCTTGGGATGTTATTATGATGATGACCGATCTCGCGGCGGCCTGGCGGACGTAATTGCCCGGAACCGTACTTTCCGTACGATGTTCCTACGCTATGCTATCCGTTCGGTCTCGTCGAAAACTACCCAGGCGGGTATCTATGGTGAGAATACTATATAGTAAATAGTAAATCCCGTACAAAACGGCCAATATTGATTAAAAAAAAAAAAAAAAAACTACACTACGTTTAGAATCTGAGAAAAAGAGCTGGTTCTGCTGGCGAGTGTGTTATTGTAGGTGTGAAGCAGATTAGATGGGACCAACAGTGTTGTTTAATTTGTATCTTAACGTAACGATGATTCATTGCTTACGAAACCCGATTCTGAACGAAGTTTTTGAACGAAGTGTTTTGAAATGCCGATTTTTATGGTTTTTGTCAATATTTGAACATAAAAAAAGCGTATAGAAAAATATTGTTACATCCAATACGAATTGACGGTAAAAAGTCAAGTTCATACAATGAAAACTTAAACTAGTTAAGTTGGTAACATTATTTAACGGTAAAATTAATTCACTAGATAAGTTAAACAGTTTTTTAAAAATGTCTTTTTTCGAACTCGTCTTTAAATTTTGAACTAGTCGCTTTTTTGTTTTTTATTAGAGCTTTTAATTAAGACTGTTAAGCCATTTTTAACTAGTCAATGCTATTGGCTATACTTATACATATCGTTCGTATTTCTGGCGGTTAAATTTTCGGTAAACAATTTTTCTTCTTGGTTGCAATATTATCAAAATTTTTTATTTACTGTAGAGTATTTCAATATTTTGTTTGTGTTACCGTTAACATTACAATATTTTCGTATTTTACGATTTATACTGTTGATTCTTTCTAAAATAATATATTATAATAGTTCTAAGAATTTGTAATGTGATCTCTTCAAAATACATTACTATAACTCAGTATAGCAATGTAATCTACATAGCTTAAGTCAGCCTTATAGTTAATAAGTTATGTGTCAATTTACTGATATAATTAAATAATGTGTTAATAAATGAAATCTGAAATTCTTGAACCTATTTAAGTCAAGTAACCGTAAATAAAGTGTTTAAGTGTTTAATTTGTAATGTTTTTTGTGCAGAAATCGTTTGAGGCACATCAAACGTATACATTAAAAAATACAGTATTCGTAAAATATTTTAAATATTTGTTACGATTATCTATGTTCAAATACTTCTAAAACGAATTATATAAATACAATTTACGCAAGTAAGTATATAAAAATTTATCTGAATACATTTGAAAAGTATTTTTAACAAGCCTATTATGTAGAACATTATATTATAACCGACCGTGTTCGGTGATATCATATAATAATTATTTGTGTGTGTGTGCGTGCGAGTAACGGTAAAACGGTTTTTTGACACAAAAAAAAAACCATTGTGATGTTAATATTTGTGTACTTATTATCGGGAGATAGTAATATTTTAAGTGTGCCTATATACTTTCAATATAACGGTGCTCGGGGGGAAAAAAAAAAAAAAACGGAAAAAAAACATTAATAAAACATTAACGTTTGTTTGGACAAGTTTTTTATTTTTTTTTCAAACTACATTAAATCGAATACACGTATCGAGTATTGATTGTGTTGCTCGTTATTACCGTCGTTTAAACGACATCGTCCCGAAGAGACACCACGTAATCGCACGTCAAAAATTCTATACTACGGTTGCATTTCTATCGGTCAAACACGTCCCTTATTGTAACAATAATAATAATACACGAACGTTATACGGATTATTCTAAAGGCCACTGGGCCCTTTAGTGCGCGTACCGTCTCACAGCCGATCCCACAACTATATACGTCGCCGAAATCGTCCCATTCGATCCGCCACCTGAACATCCAACGTCCCATTCGTCGAATTTTCCCCGAGACACCATATTATACCGTATACCGTGTCTGCTATGTACACATATGATATCAGCGGCGTAGTCAGGATTACCCTTTGGCACGGAGAGGTGATCATTTTTTTTACACGGAGGTGGTTTAACTGTAGGGTCTCGCATAGGTTTAGCACAGCCAACAGGAGGTGGCTGTATAGCAATATTTCTGCGTGAAGCAAACACGAGGGCAAACATCGGTGTACAGGCAGTTAGGACGAAAAATACGACGTTTTCACTTTACGCGGGGCGTAATCAAATATTGAATTAGTATACAGTATACGGTACGTTTATGTCCGCGAACTTTAATATAATAAGCTAACGAAACAGTGATAACGATTTAAAACCGGATCGGTAAATTGCAGCGATTCAAGACTTTTGCAACGGCTTTCGTCGACCTTAATAGAAATAATTTTTCGACTTTCTTGAACTGTCGGCGGGAGAGGGAATGCTGAATACACCTTAGTCCCCCTGCCACTGCTCGCTAAGCCACTGTTATGTAAATATTGTGAAAACGTCAATAATTCTGTCCGTTTCCCTCGTCACGGAGGCCAAATAAGTTCCGGATAATAATACGCGAGCATAAAGCGGCCGCGCGGATTTCATCCTAGTCGTATAATATTTCAGATTAGTGGCGTATTTGACTTAGTATTTTGGGTAGGGGGGGGGCTACAATACTACAATTATTATACACAAGCTGATACCTGTTCTACAATATTTATCTTACAATGAAGTGTTTGTATTCTTGTGTCTGATGACACTTTTCTAGCAACATTAAATTTTTGTATATATTTATACAGCGAATATCCACACAAATTAGTTGATGGGGGAGAGCGATCGCCCTCCCCCCCTCTCAAATACGCCACTGTTTCGGACGCTCTCTTCTGTGTCACTTTTACACTCGACGAATTAACTTTTAATTCTGTACAATAAGCGCATACACATACACACACACACACGGTGAACTCTGGAAACGTGACGCGAATACAATACACGCTTTGATAGCGAACGCACACACGAATCGTACTATACAAGTTTCGACGTATCGTTCTTTAACCTCCGCGAGCGCGCGCGCGCGCGCTACTTAACACGATTGCGATCATATACGCGATGAGCGACGAATTTCAGAAAACGGAATTTAACGCGCCGCGTCTTTACCCACATAATATTACGCACGTCGTATACTTGTACAATAATAACGGAGTTTACCTGCCGGCGCCGCGTGCTGAAAGAAAAAACAACCATTTGCGCGGACGATTGCAGTAATATTTTATTATTATAATAACATTGTCGGTTCTACACGGCGACGTTGTACGCGCCGGTTATTATGACCGGGGTTCGGGACCTTAAAATCAACAAAACGGCGTTCAACAAAAAAAAAAAAAAAACAAACCGCAGTAAGTCGGTTAAAAAGCTTAGTAAGCCCTTTAAGTGCTGAAATAAGCATTTTCGAAATATTTTAAAAATCGAAGAAACTATCGAAAAGCGTTTGTATCCTGTTAAATATTCGAAATATTCATAAAAAAAAAAATACTAAAAAGTTTTTAGTAATTAATATGGATAACTCGCGGAATCTTCTTAAAACTACACTCGTGAATTTTTAGTGAAAACTCGAGTTGCGTCGAATATTGTCGAATAGGACAAACAAAATATACGAGTTGGTTACAAAGGACGAAATTGTTTAAAAACCGCAGGGAAAGTAATCGCAACGTAGGAAATATATGCGTAAATAAGCCGAAAAACTATTAAAAAGTTTTATTCTATTTTTTTTTTTTTTTAACTGTCGAAATAAGCGAAATAAAGAACGTTCCCGTAGCTTCCGTTGTTAGGTTTAATAACGAGCACGTGTTATAAACCCTAAATCCGGGTTATAACAGATCGAAACTGCGCAAAGAACGAAAAGTTTGAAACTTGCGTGGAATAAAAAAAACCGCACGTTTTCTACATTACCCGTCTTCTTATAATAATATAACGTTCGTTTTTAAACCGACATTTAAATTGATAATGTGTATTATTTTCACGACGGATTGTTCCGCGTTCGTCACATTTCCAGTAATATAGTGTTATAGGTACCTCGCGATGGCGTGTTCGTCGGTCTTTGGCGTTTATAAAAAAAAAAAAACGAAAACAAAACAAAACAACAGTAACCTGCGCAGCATTCGACAACGCGGCTGTACGCACATTTAACTTATTATATTTCACCTCGAAAATAATAATAATACACACCTGGATACTCTCGAAACCGTTGTACAGACCGGATGAATGGCGAACGAACAACGTACAACGTATACATAAAAACAAAAAATTCTTTACCCGGTAAGTTGAACGCGCCGGAAATTCGCACCTCCGCGTAATAATTTTATTAAAATATTAAGCGCATAAGCGGTACGTTTAGTAATATTTTCCGAGTCCCGAATCCGAACGATTTCCATCGCGTGCGGCATTGCAAAGTTTTTCGGTCTCGGATATAATAACAATGTACCCTGTGGATACGAAAGTATAGAACGATGAAACTTTTTATTGTATAAAAAAATCAAATCGGATAAATGTTCCTGCAGCGTAAAGTTGAGTAATAACTCGCAAGGCTCGGGACGTTATGCATTTTTAAATCCACAGAAAAGCGCTTAAAAACGTCAAAAGAACCACGACATAAATATATTTTTTTTTAATCGAAAATGACAGAGGATTCAGAAGAGTTTAAAATACTCATAATTTTATTTAAAAACTTGTTAATCATTTCTGTAGTGTTCAAAAATTGTATTTTATATGTTAGAGCAGTTAGTGTGGGGGGAGGGACTTTTAAAAACGTACTACTGATTTCGTTTGTTTTTTCAAGTGCGTTATCGTGCCTTTTTGATCGCTTTTTTGTCGATTTTATATGTGCATATAGCCCCGAGCCCTAGACTAATAATATTATAGAAATCAGACACATAATATAAAATAATAATAAAAAGTCGTATCCCCGGGTTGTTATAAGTTTCCAAAAGCTGTGGCTAAATATTAACTGCGATAAAGGCGATAATAACCATACAATACGATAATGAATTGATCGCGCGGTAAAACTGTTATAGTAAGACGATTAGACGATTGGAATCCATATACCTATTTAACATTGAACCTCTTCAATAAAAAAAACAATGCCTAGGTACTTAAATGTTATAAAATATGGCTCCCCCTCCCCCCCCCCCGCCCAGGAGTTGAAAATTATACGCCGCCGATAGTAATCGTGTTACCTTGTGTCTCAGTATATACGGTTGATAAAGAAATAAAAAAAAAAAAAAAAACAAAAAAACCGACGAAATTTTACGAGATTTCCGACCGCAAAACGCACGGAATTATTGGGTATTATTATTATTTTTCTGTATCGCAACGAGAACTGGCCATAATTTTTCGAAACCGTCGTAATTTTTATTAATTTATGACGTTAAAGAACCATTTTTTGTTCCCCCCCCCCGAACCGTTCCTACGGTGCATTATTATATTCACCGAAACGGGACAAACACTATTATTATTATTATTATAATAAAATATATAGACGATGGCCTATACGGAGAGAGGACAGTGCTGCGGCTGTAAAAACCCGTGTCGCCAACAACGATGTAATATCGTACACCCGGTCCGAAAACACACTCGTAAATTATTTTCGACGTTTTTACATAATATAATACAATCCACTATACACCCAATCGTTAACCTTGTACGTTTGCCTTTTCTCTCGCTCTCTCTCTCCCTCCGCTCCCCGCTGCCCCGTAGGGACGGTTAACGCGCATAGTGCCAGCGCGTTTCTTGGCTCAAAAACACGCCTTACGGGAAAAATTCTCACGTCTCGTGGAGTCGGTTCGATTTCGATGTTTTTTTTTTTTTTTTTTTTCCGGTTGACAGAGAAAAACCATAGAAAGACAGAACGCTTTGAACTCGATTTTTATTTTTCGTTTAAAAAATGTTATCCGAAACTTTACGATACGTCTAACAAAAAAAAAAAAAAACAGTAAATTTTTAACAATAATTTTCGCATCAACTCATATTCACACCATTACCATAATGGCTGTCTATCACAGCTTTGCCCGCGTGCACAGTATTTAACGGAAATGTATGAAAAAAGAAAAATTGTCTCTCCCTAATAATAAATGTGTTTTGTTTTTATTTCGTTCAGATTACTATGGTTGCACGCCATCGCCCATATCGCGGTTAACCTACGTATACCACGTTGACCGTAGCAAATTAAATGCCTCCGGTAACCCCTACCTCTGTTATAACCCCCTCCGAGTCGCTCACTCCGATACTCCATTTCCTTTCCCCATTCACCCTAACACTCGTCTGTCCCTCGGTAATATCCCATTTACTTACAAAATCGGAAGTTGATTTGTTTAGGAGGACATTTACGCCACGCACAACCGCTGCCAGACACCCAAACTCCGAGGTCTATTTACCGCCGCGACCTGCACAACGTTTGCGGAAAATAATGAATGTTCACCAACACAAAATTTGTTTTCTGTTTAATTTTCAACATTTTTGAAAATCCTTTCGCAACAAAGAACCGTCGACGAAATTCAATTCAATTTGACCCTTCCTCGGTTAACCGTCACGCCGTCGCTTTGACCGTGCCAAGTTAAACGCCAGTCGGAGTGTTATTATTATTACGTACATCACTCGAAATGATAATAAAGAATATTAAACATTTTTACACATTTTCAATTTTGGATGTATAAAAAACGGACAAACTTCGCACGTGGGTGAACCACTGTTGTAGGTAAGAAGTTGGGAAGGTAGAAGGGAAATTGAATTTAATAGCGCAGCGATTAACCATCGCTAACGCAAAAACGATTCTAAGCAGAGTCCGGTTAATAAAGTTGCTTTGCGAACAATATACATAGTATATATATTACGGTAAAACAAATATATATGCTTTATATTATATTTTCCTTAATAATATTCGTTTAATATTGTATCTATTTCCCCGTTAATTGGGAAAATCATAAAATTACCGCATTAATCAAGGACCACCCCAGGAAAATTCCCTTCCAGAAAATATGCTGTACTTGATGCTTCGGAGTAAGATTTCTGGTAGAATTTTTGTACGCGGTATAGAAAAAAAAATAAAAAGTAAACATCTTTGTGAAACCGGTACGGTGTTCGCTACACTCAGAATCTAAAATGTCCATACCGTTTCGGTGTACGCGATTTTTAACGTATAGTTT